TCTTCGATGCGCGCTCGCGCCAGCAAACTGACGCTGAACGGAGCGCGGACGTGCGCTCGCGTGTTCATACTAAAAGTGCTCACCACTGTACCTCATCACCTCTGAGTCAGCCCACGTTGGTTGAGGTGCTCCCAGAAAGTTATGAATTTTCCGGCGTGAAATGAGGCAATCGGCCCCATTTTGTAGTGCGGGGAATGCAGTAGTTCTGCAGCTGCTCCTGCACGATCACCATAAGGGTGTCGTGCAGGTCCTCGGTGATCGTCGGCGTTGCTGGTAGTCTGAGGGTGGCGGTTGTACTGCCTTGTACGCCAGTGTAGCGCCTTTTATATGGTCGTGGCCTCGTAAAGAATTCTTCAGTGAACTTGGGCGTATTGTGCATAAGTCCCGCAAACAGCCCTTGCTTAACTACTCGCATCCTCGCATCATTGATCGCAGCTTCTTGTCCTTAGACATAGCGGTGTCGGCGTGATGGCATAGGCAAGTCATATCCTCGGTTTACATTTGGGCGTTCTATTTTGATAGCAAAACCCTGATTTTCGGTAGGCTTCGTGCTTTTTCCTTAAGCATGATAGCTGTGAAAGTTCCAAGGTATGCAGTGCGAAATACGTCTAAGGCAGTGTTACGGATTAGGTGCCTTCATTTCATTCCAACTTCATTTCTGGGGAAAAGGAGTTGCAGCAAGTCGATTCCTCTAAATATTTCTTTGGAACGAAAAAAAAACAGCCGATTCCCACTTCGGAAATGACCAAGCATTTCAATTTCACTCCTATAATTCCTCAATGCAGAAAATGCATCTTTAGAGTTTTATTGAGCTAAGAATGAACGCCCCTGAAAGCTGGTGTCACGACATGCATAAGGACTGTAAATGTACGCAAAACTGTAAATGTACGCAAAAATGTTACCAGGTGTGAATCAAGCCACTCACTTAGGTGAGTGTGTGGGGAGGGGGGGGGGGAGGAGTCCGCCTTCGCCTGTAGTAACACCTGACAGAGGGGCGGGTCATGACTGTTTCATTTTTACTTGGAGGAAAACCACTTCATAGCATAAATACTGTTAGTGTTTATAATTTTTTGTCGTTTGTCGGTTCTGCTCTCCCCATTAACGACTAGAGTTTCCATGGGCATCCACGACACAGGGACGTTTTTAATCATTAATCACTCATTATTTATAGATCTGGGTCAATGAAATGGAAATGTATCGACAAACATCAGCTTAGAGGCATTTACAAAAAAACAGCACCTAAAATTAGCTGTCAAACACCAACAGACATAGTATGAGCTTTCTTAAATCGATGTACAGTAAGCACGAAACTCTTTCTGTGAGGAGACGTTTTACTTTCGTGTTATACCGACTCCTAAGACTGAGTGATCAGCCCTGTTTTTTTGTTTTGTTTTTTTTTTTTTCTAACGCACGGATGCATTCACAACACCATCATTGGTTTCTCAAAGCAGCGATGTAGCTGCTACATACCTGTAAGGTGCGTGCACTTTGTTGATGCTGTGTCTGATTGCAGAAAATAATTGTGGGTGTCCTTTTGAAAAACGTTTGTTTCAATGCGTGGTAAGCCGAGCTAAGCGCATTTAAGCAACACGCGTCCCAAATAACTGGCCTGCACTCTGAAGTTCACGAAGAAAAGTCCCGTGGTTCCTCCTGCATGAACTCCAGGCATCTCGACAGTTTTAAAGCATTTGATGACCCACTTGTTGCGCAATTTGCATTGTGTGACACTTGTTTGGTATATTACTTTTGTAAAACACGTTATTTCAAAAGGTAACGTCATTTCTTCCCTGACAAGAAGTGTGCAATACTTCTGTTTGGCGAGAATATTCAAAAACCAGCGTAACTCAGTGGTAGCATACCAAGGTTTCTTCAAGTCATGTTTTCTTGAGAATTTCATCCTTTTCTAAACTACGGCGATGGAAACGGCCATTCTTCTGCTCTCATGGAAACTTTTGCAGTGAAAGTGTAGAGCTGAAAGTGTAGGGAAGTGTAGGGAAGTGTAGGGAAGTGTAGAGCTGTGCTTTTTTTCTTCATCTTTTCTTCTTCCTCTACTTGCTTGTTTCATTGCCTCGTATTTTTATGTTTTTGCTGGGGTTTATTTCTATTTTTTAAGTATCTGTCAAACCCTCTGGCTGGGCTCATTGCTGCTATGTTGTCACTAGTTTCGGCTTGATTGTGTTTTGTTGGTTGGTTACGATATGTTTTACTTAGGTTTTTCTCCACCATGCGCCTTTTTGCCTATGCTATGCTTGGAGTGACATAAAGGAACTTCTCGCATTTTTCCCCTGGGTATTTATCTCTCTTAATCTCTCTCAACTTTTTTTTATTTTTTTGTCTTTCCTTCTCTTTCCTATCTTTACGTGTATTTTTATTTTTTATTATTCATTTATCTTGCACACGAATCTATGGCACCCGCCTAACTCCAAACATCTCTTGTTTCCTGTGTCGTTTATTTGCTTGCCGCAGCGACTGAGCCGAGATCAGTTTGACAAAGCATACTTCACAATTCTGAAGATCAGTAATTCAATAATTTCTGCCTTTATTTCCTTTAACTGCTATTGACCACGTCAATTAGTGATATTCTCAGGGCGTCGGATTTGCTCAGAAGCCCGGACAAAGCATGGTTGGTTAGTTGCTATTAACAGAAAATGCGAAGCATTCTTTAGCGAACTTCAGCAACTTTGAGCGTATCTATCTATCTATCTATCTATCTATCTATCTATCTATCTTTCTATCTATCTATCTATCTATCTATCCATCTATCTATCTATCTATCTATCTATCTATCTAGCCGCCGATGACTTTTGGCTTTCCTGGCCGTTTCAATTTTGGTATCAATACCACCCGTGGTATGGCATAACATGACTATATGACGAACATATTTGACTGGTCATGACATGAAAATCGTGACATGTATGTCATGAATGTCATGATCTACATTTCATGGTCCTGCAGCTCTCACGGTGGTTTCGTTCACACGGCATGCTGCAAAACTAGTATGGTATGGCATGATTGCATCGCGAACACAAGCGACACACCCAACATGAAAATCATGACATGCCTGTCATGTACCAACATGACTAGGTGTCACGCTCATGATGCCCTGGTGGCCGTTTTGCTAGCTTCACATATAGCAAATTTGGTATTACGGGACGTGAATGGATGACGAATGTATGATACTTGTGCAAACACGATAAACATGAGATGCGTGTCATGTAAAAAACATGAGTACATGCTACGCTCATGATCTGCTCGTGGCTGTTTCGCTAGCTCCACATGTACCAAACTCAGTATTACGTGACACGAACAGGCGACATAGGTTAAAGGCACATCCAAACATGATAATCACGACATGCGTGTCATGTAACAACATGACTATATACCACACTCATGAGGCGCTCGTGGCCGTTTCGCTAGCTTCACATTTGCCAAATTTTGTATTACGTGACGCCAATGGATGACGAAGGTATGTGACTGGTACAAACATGATAATCATGAGATGCGTGTCATGTAACAACATGACTACATGCCACCGCCAAGACGCCAATACATTTCGACTAAGGGAATGCGCGTGCGCGCCGGCGTTCATTTCGTCGCGTGACGCCGCCGTTGCGACGCCAGATGCCGGTCCTGCCAACAACTTGCAGGCGTGCGCCGTGCAGGCGTGCAGGCGTCCTGCCGACTACTTGCAGGCGTGCGCCGTGCTGCGTTGCTTTGACGCATGTGCGTTTCTGTGCGTCCGGCATCCCTCCGTCCTGAAAAGAGGGAGACGCAATGTGGTCTGCGTAACGCACAGGCGCGAATTTCGCGCCCGGTGCCATGGGGCCGCGCCGACGGACACTGGTCACGCCGGTCGCGCCTGGCGTCAGACTATAGAGTGCTCGCGTTTCGCTAACATAGCCTCGCTGTGCGCTGCGTGTAAATGCGTCAACTCTACAGTGGAGTTTAATGGGCTCTTCATGATGCGCTCGCGGCCATTTTTCTAGCTCCACATATTCCAAGATTGGTGATACTTGACGTCAATGGATGGTGAAGTATATAACTGGTGCAAACATGACGATCCTTACAAGTGTTTCATGTAAGAACGTAACTACATACCTCGCTAATAGCGTGCTCCCTGATAGTTCGCTAGCTCGACATGTACTAACTTTGGTATCATTGGGACGTTAAACCCCACATATCAATCAACTTTGGTATGACGTGACGTGAATGGATGACGAAGGTAAACGACACACTCAAGCATGATATTCATGACACAGAAGTTATGTCTGGAATCATTTACCTGCACCTTGTAACGTTTTACTGATTTTAAAGCGACATATCAATATTTCTTATTCGTGCTTCGTATATCATCAATTCGCCAGGTACGTAGGATCTGCCAATTTTTTATATGGGCATTTATGATTTCTTTATGTTTACCTATAGACACACTGGTGACAACATTTACGAAAGCCAAACAGGTTTGAGCCAGCATATACACAAACAATTGTCAGGAATATTTTCCTTCAGCATGAGTGTACAGCACCTGAAATATCGAAGTTAACTCACGCTGGTTAAGGCAGTTCCAGGAAAAAAACTACAAAGCGATGCTTCTCCGCAATGCACGTTATATGGCTACACGTATACGATATACACCGCTCAGTGCTAGCAGCTGTTCCCACATTGAAAATGTCCAGCTACAAGCTGTCACTGACTAATACTTTACCCAACCATACACCAGTAGGAAGCCTCGCGGTCCAAACCATCCAGACCTGTTTGCTACAGTATGCAGCATGGCCGCGCTTCATGGAGTCCTGCGTGACGGATTCCACTCAAACCTAGTGGCTTTATGGTTTGTTTTGCATTTATGAATGTTGCTACCTTCTCTCCAGTAGGCTGAATATATTAGTGCTTAAAATTATTATTCTTTTTCGTGCTGCATAACAAAGTTTCTTTGGTAGTTATTCTGCCCCGTTGAATACCACTTCATAGTTCTTTTGCCCGATAACTTCTTATTCCAGGCGATTTACCCACATATTGAATGGGACTTTGGAGATGAATAATACCAGGGATGTCACTGGTGCCGTGCTCAATGTGCCAGGAGTCAGCGGTAAGGTGATACGTGGTATTCTGTAAACCGACTTAACTGTTTTCAGTAACGCTTACATCAAATATTCTGGAATATTGAGTTTGCTTAGAGTTGAAAGCGCTATATCTTTGCGATTGCTCTGAAGCCTTCTCTTGTTATATGATATTTTACTGAACACCGGCTCACGTTCACGGCTTCGGGCTTTCTGCCGTATCAGAACTTTTTCTTTATCGTACCAGTGGCGACCTCACTCCCTGCACGTGCATTGCCAAAACACTGCACATCACGCAAAAAAAAAATCGAGCAAAAAGGGCTGTCTTTCTGTTCGACACGAATATTCCTCCTGTATTTTGTGTTCCATTTTTTTCACTATCCCCATGCACCCGACATTTTCACGTCAGAAACAGCATGCGCATTTTCAGCCTGAGATAGCTTTCTTTATAGCAATGGGGCGACAGCCATGTTTTCAAGAAAAGAAGTGCTAGAAAACCACAAGTGATTATTGTTGTTTGACAAAAACATGCCGTTTTCGCTCGACATTTTTAGAGTTAATATCTCAGTTTTGCATTCCTTGTGGCTGTGCTTTCACGAGAAGAATATTCAAAGACCGACCGTTAATATACTATAGCCCCATTCTATCACCATGCGCTCATCCACTCGCGTGACCCTGGAAGCTATGTGCTATATTCTAAATTTAATTAAAGCATGGTAATTCGATTCGAAATGGAATGTTTTCTTTTATGACCTAGATAAAACATAGAAGGTCCGTGACGGCTTTAGTCATATGCTTCATAGACATTTGCAATGGCAAAAGCGGTATTTGTTGAAAACAGGCGACGATATCTTAAATTAATAAACATTTCTACGCCGCCTCAACGTGGAAATCAAATCACCTGAAACGAATTCCTTTGAATCAATGAGTACTTTGGAGGCGCCGTCGCCAAGTGTAGCCGTGGGTCAGTGCCATCGCTTCTGCTGGGATAAGGGTTCTTTGATGATAATCGGAAGAGCGATGTCATTGTACAAAAATAGAGGGAAGCCAAAAGCGCGTGCAGTTGATTGGCTTCTTGTTGGGTTCCACGTAGCTTTGGCAGGGCACCACTGCCGACCGGAAATTAGACGACGTCTCATATCCCACAATACGCAGAAAAAAACAGTTCTGTACGTTAGTGAGTTTTGAAACAAAGACCTCAAGCTCAGAACTTAGATATCCCTCCCACTTCACTAATCACGCTTGTTTGCAGAAGTGATTGATCCTGACAATATGAGCGCGTAGTACTGGCGATACTACACGCATATTGGGTGATAAAACAATGCAATTTTGAAGAGTAAGAACTTTCTGCATGGATTTATTCAAATACTTGATAAAAGTGTATTAGACGAGTTGCAAAAAAAAGACTACGTTGCAGTGCCTTTACCAACACGTACAAGAAACAGCCAACGAAGTGGCTTTGAAAAGAGGAAAAGGGCAGAAAAAAGGCGTGCTTCTGTTACTGCCTCTCTCAACGGAGGGCACCTCCACAGTTCTGCGCAGGGAATGGGGAATCGGAATTAAAGAGACAGAAGAAAGGGGTAAGAGACGGGTAGTGAAAAGCATTCGATCGCTCGCATCACGCACGCGCGCGTAAGAACCATACGCGGCACACGCAACCCACCGAAAGCCGCCGAGAAGCCGGAGGCGAAGCAATGCGCCCGAGAAAGAAAAAAAAACACCCACCGGCTTCGTAGAAAGAAGTTAGTGCGCTCGCCGGCCATGAGGGAAGGAGAGAGAATGTCTGCTTCGACGGAGCAGTGCGCCCGGGGGGGAGAGGGAAAAAAAGGAAAAAGTCGTGAGGCAGCTCGGAGCAGCCTACGTAAGCAAAGTTACGTGCGACTCCCAGGAGGCATCGCACGCAGCGCGATGTAAATTAACGACGACACATGTGTAACCAGCGCCTCCTAGAATTTTCAAGGTCCCTTCACTCCCTTCGTATCCTTGTCTGACGTCAGCACACCCAGCCTGATGAACTGGTGGGCATTGTGAGGACTGGTTGGGGAATGCAGGCTCAGTGACTTCCTTCGTTAGGGCGAGCCTGTTAGAACTAGGGTGCCTTGATGCGTGCACCTTCGCTTAGGGTGAAGCCACTCTTTGACGGAGCAGTTGCCGCCACACCCGGTTCTCGGGGAGCTCCGACGCCATTTTCTTGCTTTCCGCTCGCGCCGACTCTCTCGCTCGACCGGATAGCACCACTCTTCACGCCGTCTTTGCGCAGAATGCCTGGTTGCTGCGTTCCGCAATGCAGTAACAGCGCTAAAAATGGCTGCAGAATGTTTTCCTTTCCCAGAGACCCGAAAAGACGGCTCCTATGGACCTCTAAAATCAAGCGGGGCAGCCGACGAACCATACCTGTATATGCAATGTGAGTACCTGATTTGTAGACGTGTGAAATACATATGCCAGCGTGTCTGCACCACTCTTACTAAGACGCAGACTTGATATTTTTTGTGTTCAGATTGGTGGCAACATAGCGTCTTACAGCGGGGACCAACGTATGGAACCTCCGGTGCATTTACAGCTCCTTTTCTTTTTCACTTGATATAATGAACTAAGGCACAGGCTGGGAAAATACGATCAATCTTTCTGAACCGCGAGGGCTGTAGCTATCTGAGGCGCATCGCACTTATTTTAACGAAATTGTTCACTACCTATGTTTGCGCCTACATAGCAGTGTGAGGAGTAAATCTGAGAGTTCAAAATATGTGAAGCGCTATGCTTGTGTTTCGCAGTGTTGTTCATAAAACTATTCTATACGTTATGTCGTGCAGGAAAATTATTATGCTTTTTGACAGTTATTGTAGCTTATCGTATCTGTAACGGAAGTAGGTGAAATAATTTAGGAGAATTGCACCTCTATGTTATGCTCGTATGCGGAAGTCGTGCCGTATTCATGCAGTTTGTTCGATTTCATTGATTTTTCGCACTTTGTTCTTGTTGTTTGAAGGAACAAATCACGTATATTAACAACGTCAATTTCCCGTACAGGCTCACTTTGAAGAATGCTGTTTTGAGCAAAAGCGGGCAGATGGGTGGAAGAAGCTGAAGCCAAATGGGGTACCAACGCTTTTCCCGTTCAAAGGTAGGCACCTTCCACCGTGGGCAGTGTCTTATTCAGTATGAGGGCTCACTTTCGTTACCAAAGTAATGGCGGGTGCTCGCAAACACATAATGATATATATATATATATATATATATATATATATATATATATATATATATATATATATATATATTTTATATATATATATATATATATATATATATATATATATATATATATATATATATACAAAAAGCTAACATTTTTATGGCACTGCAACTGCGACCAGAGCCGTACGAAATACTAACTAATAGTTACGCCACCTCCATGATATTGTGATATATTTTACCATTGTCTTCTCTCCGTTCCAATCTCTGTTTTCCCTTTATTATTATTATTATTATTACTATTTCTTCTTCTTTATTTTTATCTACATTTTTTAACAATTACTGTTTCTACGCTTCCTCGCTCATACTTCCGTCACTATTTTCGCAAAGGTCTTTTCCCAGAAAACTTCCAACACCCCACCTTTCATCCTTACGCGCCTATATTTCTACGTACACGTGCGAGCTGCACATGTGAACCACGTGCCACCTACAGACCAGCCACGAGCAAGGAACTTTTAGACTATTTAAAGCGTTAGGCTTTCTCAGAAACGCACCTATAACGACCTACTCAGGCTGAAAAGCATGGCTGCTGTCATTTCCTCCCCCTGCATTTTTTACCACATTCTTCGCACTCTCTCTCCTTTTCTCTCTTCTTCATTTTGAATCCCTAAAATCTAGCGTTTTCCCTGAACCTAGTGCTTGATGTCACAATTGGTTTGTACATTTCTCTGCATCCAGTTGCTCCGAGGCAGCGAAAGGCACCGAGGGAAAGAGCACTGCCTGTGCTCAGGTTAAACCACAAAGAGGTGAGCGACCTGCCGATGTACCTCACGCCGCATCAGACGTAGTGGAAATGCTACCTGAGTCATCTGAAGCGGTATCACAAGAAACGTCAACGGACAACATGGAAGTGAACAGCCCAGGTGTCGAAGCTTTGAACATCAGAATAGCAAACTCGACTGATGAAACTCCCACAGTTAGGGAGACACAAAGAGACTATGCTCAGCTTAAAAAGCAGTTGGCAAACATAGAAAGAAAATACGCGACGCTTCGAGAACATCACAGCATCACTACGAACACAATCCAGAACCTCAGAAAGCAAGTCCATAAGCTTGAAAGTATGGCTGAGAATTTCGAAAGAAATATACACTTATTAAATACAGATCAGGTTTGTGCTCTTTTTAAAAACAGTACCCAGGGTCACACTTGTTCTGTGGAGACAGTTAAACAAGGTTTGCAAATTAAATTCGCTTGCGGAACGACCGGGTGCGAGACCCTGAGGAAGTTGGGTTACCCCCACCCATCTAGCAGGACGTTGGCGCGGAGGATCCAGGGATTGAAATGCATTCGAGGAATTCTTCAAGAAGTTTTTGATGTTATGAAGTGCGAGGCCGAAACCATGGAAAACGTGGAGAAAAACTGCGTGCTGTTTCTTGACGAAATGTAAATAGCTACAGGTTTTAAATTGGACCGAGCTCAAGACATTCTCCTTCGAAGTATCACACTTCCTTCAAAGCCAGAGGAACCGGCTAATCACGCTTTGGTGTTCATGTTGGGCGGAATTAATCAGCGGGGGAAGCAGGTGATCGGATATGAATCTACTGGACGATACGTAAATGGTGCCTTGCTCAAAGACTATGAGCTCGACATCGTCCAGCGTTGGAGCCAGATTTCTCTCGAAGTCCGAGCAGTCCCATGTGGCATGGGCTCAGCAAATCGAGCAAAGTGGCGAAAGTTTGGGTTTTCAAGCCACAGAAATTCCACTACCGTCTGCTCAGTACAGCATCCCTGTTTGGGAGGCAAAGAGCTCTTTTTTGCTGCTGACGCAGCCCATGTG